TATTGTGCAGGCATTGTCCGCTCGATAGAAGAAGAGCACCATACTCTGGCCCGAGGATGACGGTACTGCGCCTGGCATGGACATAGAAGTCATGTCTATGGCATTAATGGACAGATAACTACAAGTCCAGCCTGCCCCACAGACTGACATGCCAGACATGGACCCGAATATCCGTGCGTACATCTTGCATCGTCCGGGTCATTTCAGTGGTCTCACCTTTGCGGATAAGTCATGGACCCTTTGGGACAATGAGAGTAGGGTGCACACAGTGGAAAATATTAACTCTTTCTATCACCAGGCAGTAGAACCTCATTCGGTCCGGCTAGTCAATCAGGAACGCTATGTGGATGTGCACTCACAAGCTCTACAGTGTTCGGAGGGCGATCCGGCTGAACCTTCCCCTTTCCCCTGTACATGGCCAAGCAGCGTCCTTTCCCTGTGTAGATCAGATGGATTCTACCACGGATAGTGAAGGGGTTTCTCTGGAGGATGGTGTTTGTGCCATGCCATTGTGTCTTCACACAGCTACAGTTCAGTTAGCATGCACACAGCACAGCCTATGCTCCGGACACTATCAAGGGATGGTCACTGCCAGCCTCTGTCGCAAACACTGCAACCCATTGTCTTGTACTCATGCCCCCCCCCCCCCCCCCCTCCTCTCCTTAATTACTTGCCCAGCATGTCATTGTGGCCTTTACATCCCATGCTTAAATAACTGCAAATGTCTGCTGACATGTCAGCAACATGCCATGTGTCGTCAATGTCTCTGGGAAGCTGTCATAGTAAGTATGTGTCTCTACTGCGTGCACTATCCCCAATTCCATCACCCGCCACATCCTCTCCTAGCATCTCCCACATGCAGCGTTGGGCATACACCTGATGCAACCGCAGTCGTATCTCCTCCTTCCTCGCTAGATGAACAACCGCCTTAGCGAGGAAAATAAACTACCATACGACCCCCCTGCACCCTGCAGAGTGCTATACTGATAGGTTATCACCACCAGGGCGAGCCGTTGCAGACATCCTGCAACAGCTAACTACTTTTGCTTTGGATCAGAGTCCCCATCGGCGTATGTCCGTCCATAGGGAGGAAATAATAACTGTGAAAACGCAAGAAACTTCGTCAATGCAGCTCTGTGATGGCCCACCTGAGATTCGGCTACCGTCTTCACCCGAATAGAATGCCCTGTCATTATCGCTGCATCTGGAATGAAAGTTGTGCCTAATACAGCTATAATGACCGGGCGTTCTATTCGGGTGGTCGCATGTGATTCACATGCCTTGTGTCGTGCGGATTATGAAGGCATACTCCATGCAAGTTTTCGTTTGCATACGTATGATGACCGTCAACATTTCACTCATGTACGACACTCTGACATGTCATGTCCAATTTTCATAAACAGGGACTGGAACGGCAATGGCCATACAATTGCGGTCGGCTTGCATCTGTGTTCCCAGCATGTAGGAGCCACGTAGCCTGTGATATCTGTCTACGCTGTGCCATTTGATACAGCAACTGCAACTGTGAGAATTGGATGCAGTGCTTCCGCAGTCCACACCCGAATCAGTGTTGTCCGGTCTGTAGGGGTGGCCACCTACCATAGCCAACAGCTACACCTCAACAAAAATCATCCTGCAACCCAAACACTGACTGACCTCTTGTGTCATTCTAGAGTAGTCTGCTCCAGCGGTAAGTATTGGGAACCCAGTGAAGTTTCTCATTCCTCTCTTCTGTTCTTTGCCTCTCTCTCTCTCTCCCTATATAGGTAGATAGCGTAGATAGCGTAGTGAGTACGGCTGTCCCCCACATGAGGAGAAGACAGCTTTTTTCTGAAAAAAAAAGAAAAAAGGGGTACCCCAAAGAAAGCCAAAGTAAAGATAGTCAAGAAAGGATAAAACGGACAAAGTAAAGATAGTGAAGAAATGCAATCAGGCTCACTTTCTTTTCCACTTCGCACTCATGCAAACAGATGGTGAATCACACTGGCGCACAGCACCCACTCAAAGCTCAGAGATATGGAAGTCGAAAACACAGTTCAGATACAAGCTCGCTTCAACAGGCTATGGCGCATCAGCGCCTGCACACTCCAACTCTCGTCTCTCTATCCAACACCACTGTTCGCACTCACTCAACTCCGGATCACCCTGGATATCCCACACGCATACACACACTTTCGTACTCATACACTTGCCTATCAGCTATGGCGGCTATGGCCGCTGTCCCTCTCCTAGCTATGTCTAACTATCTCCTTCAGCCCACTTCGTCTTCGGGCACTCGGCAGACCACCTCGCACAAGTCGCTCAAGCAGCGCTTCCACATGGCTTACGCAGGAATGAATGAATGGCTGGGCGCTGCCTCTTGATTTATACTTCTGTAACTCGTTGGTCCGCCCCTTTCCCATGCCCTTGGTGCACACAGTCCCACATGGTACTTGCTTGACTGGACTGTGACTGACTGGGACCGGTACCGCTGCCTGCATGGGTTTGCACTGCCAACTCTATGCAGTCGCACTGCCGACGTAACGCAGTTGGGCTCACCACTTGCCCACTTGCCTCTGTCCAAACGTGAGACAACTTTGAAAGGCCACTTCCGTACCTTCCGGAAGTCTGTGGGCTTGGCCTTTCGAACACTGTAGCAGCTACGACCTTGACCTCTCAGGACTGTAGCAGCTACGAACTTGACCCTTCAGAAGAGCTACAGCTACGACTTCTAGAACTCACTAAGGCCTCTATCCGACAGGTCTACAGATCGAACCCCTACAACCTACGGACCTACGACAGCCTACCAACTGTTGCGAATACACAGGTCAGGGGTTCAACTCTCGGGGTCGACACAGGTACTGTACACATGTAAGGTAAGAACTGGGGATCGAGCCCTGGGATCTGCATTCGCTACTGCTAACAGGTGAATACCGTTTCACAAAGGATAAAACGGATGTATTCTTCTCCATGTTGCTTGTATAGAGTTAAAACCAGTGCTGGTCCCCGGATGGACCGGGGCACCTTCGACCGACTGGGAGCCTACCGGTCCGACCGGGCGGTTCACTGGCCCGGCAGGCCCCCGGTTCGATTCGGCGCAGTCATTTTGGGGGGCGGTACTGGGGATTTTCGGGCGTCCCCATCCCCGCCCAGACTCTGGGAGGCCACCACCAGCAGTTAAAAAAAAAAACGGGCCCTACCGGACCCCGTTTTCGTTTGAGAACGTGCGGCCAATCTCCACCGCCGATCGGCGCAGATCGACGGCGGCCGCGCGTTTCCAAACGAAAACAGGGTCCGGTAGGCCCCAGTTTTCAAATTTGAAAACGCGGTCGATGTCGACTGCAGATATGCGGGTCTGCGGCCGAAAGCGGCTGCATTTTGAAATTTGGATCGCGTACCGTGCGTTGCCCCTGCCCCTCCGCCCCACGTGCCCGACGCTACAGCAAGAACACACGACGTTGACATCGCGGCTTTCTGCATGCTCGTCGACGTTGTGTGCTGCCACCAGGCGACCAGCGCCAACGCCCTGTCTCCAGCCCGCCACTGACCTCTCTCTGCAGCTGCCTCGCCCCGCCAGCCCGGTTCGTCGCAACCGCCCCCTATAGCCGCGAAGGTAAGTCCACCAGCGCCCCTCCTCCTCTTCTTCTTCTTCTTCTTCTTCTTCTCCTCC